CCCCCCCCTCTCACTATATATCACAGAAGTAAGAAGAAAAAAAGAAATAATAATTAGAGAAAAAAGACACCGAAAATAATGAGGGATGGAACTGAAAGAAAATCATCGTCGTCGTCTTCGCCGGCACCGGATTGTGACGTCGGGTTGGGTTTGCGGCTGCAACCCCAGCCCACTGAATCCTATGGCGGCGGCGGAGGTGGTGGTGGGGCCTCTTTTTTCAGTGGCACAAGCAACCAGTTTGCCTTTATGGGTGAAATCTACGAAGCTGCTGATAGAATGTTTTTACCGAGGGGTTTTCACACTACTTCCTTGACAGCTTCTGGTTTACACTTTCTCTCTCTACTTTCTCTCTCATCGATCTACCTATTTTTTTTTTTTTGTTTAATATTTTAATTAATTAATTAATTATTAATTAGGGATGGGTGTGTGTGGAAAAGCTCTATTCACAAACACACAATGGCAAGAATTGGAGAGACAGAAAATGGTGCACAAATACATAATGGCCTCAATTCCCGTACCTCCTCAGCTCCTCTTACCTACAAGTACTGCTGCCACGTCACCAACAACAGCAACAACAACACCGGCCGCTACCTTGACGGGTCAGGATCTGGGTCGGTATCCGGGAAACGGGTCGGATCCGGAGCCGTGGAGGTGCAAGAGAACAGACGGAAAGAAGTGGAGGTGCTCGAGAGACGTGGCGCCTAATCAGAAGTACTGTGAGCGCCACGCGCACAAGAGCAGACCCCGTTCAAGAAAGCATGTGGAAACCCCTTCCCACAACAACAACTATTCAGTACACCACCACCACCAACAAAGGTCAACTCCTCTCTTCCCTCCAACAATGGCTTCTTCCACTCCGTCGTCGTCGTCGTCGTCGTTTGACCAAACCAGGTCTGTAAATATTATTATAATATTATTATAATATTATTATTATAGAGATATTCATTTTTCTTGTTCTTATCCAAATTTGTTTTATGGTACTTGTATCAATTTTTTAGGGTGTGGGGGGTTTGTGGGGTCCACTCTTTATTTTTTTTTTGTTAGTATGCACGTAAATGAGATATTGATGATGATAATTATAATTATTATTATTTTTTTAATTTTTCTTTTTGTATTATTATTTTGATTTTTTTGATTTATATGTGAAGGTGCATTGAGTGGTTCATGAGAGGCGGCACCACTACACACCAAGGATGAAGT